ATTCGTAATTTTCGCTACAGCTTGGTCCACGACTCTGGAAGTTAATGATTCGAAATAAAACGAAGTAAAGGATCAATCAAAGAGATGGAAACTCGAAGTTGTGAAACTATGAGATGAGGATGATTATGTGAAAGGAAGTGGGGAGGTGGGGGGGGGAGTGATCGCGTGTATTTCGATGCCTGTGTTCGAATGATGTAAGAACGAAAAGACGCGTGTGATCGATATGAGGTCTCGTACGCGTTTACATACATACTTACATACATACACACATACTAACATACACGCATGCATACACATGTTGTATTATATTATATTATATATAATTACGCGTCCACGATATATCAGAATACCGAAAATATATATTATGATGTATCGCGTTGCGTTCACACAACTTCCGTAGAAAATTACATATAATATAATATCAAATATATATATACACCCAAATCGTGCTTGTGATACGCATATACATTACCGGGTAGCATACGCTCGATGCCATGTACATATAAAATGAAATAACTCTTGCAACAAATGTATATACACGGATTTAATTGATTGATGTTGCCGATCGTAAGAACGAGATGATTGAATAACAGAAATAAACGTCAATATCAAGAGTATCGTATTTGGTAATTAATGTCGTATAAGTGTTACAGTTATCAGCCATTTATCAGCACTTAACGACGACAATGACTTTTCTGTTCTGTTATCGTAGCATGCTTGAAATAATTTCCTCATCATCGATCGATATATTATGTACAGAAAGTAATGAAAAAGAATAGATAGAAGGAAAAGAACAGACGAAAGGAAGAAGCAACTTAACCGACGTTTGTTGTACGAGTGTTACAGCCGAGTTACAAATTCGAATTTTTCCACGATTTCTCGAACTTACGATCAACGTGACGATCAGCGTTGCCCGATGATACACTATAATTAAGGATTACTTAATAATAAGCGTCGCAAGAAACGAACGCGTCACGGTGAATAAATCCGCCGCGGATTCGCTAATCGCCTTTTTCTATCCTATCTCCCTATTATTTACAACACGTTTACTTTATACATTTATGTATAATATGTATATTTATACATGCATG